ATTATTTTTTTTACAAAAGTTTAAATATGGTAAAATGAGTATCAGATTTTTTTTGGATGTAATAATTTCAGATTTAAGAATGTGTAAAATTCAACTACTTTCCGGTCTCTCAAATCAAGGGAGTACTGAAAACCATTTATTCTTTGGATTGGAGTATATTTTGGTCAATGGAGATCTGCATGAAGTTCAAATGCGAATTTGAACCACATTATTATTAGTCTATTGTGATGCTTAGTTCACCTATTCTTTAGTGTAGATAATATCGTTTGTTAAAAAAAAAAGATATATTTTAAATGAAAATTTTGCTTACCAGAACTTAACTTACTAAAATCTTAAACGGAAACTTTATTAATTTGAATACTTTGACTGAAAATAAAATGTTAAATTCTAATATTAATTAAAAAATTAATAACTCCTCCCAATGATCATGCAAAGTTTATACCTGTAAGGATTTTTAATACATATTTTAGTTAAAAAAAGTGAATAAATTTTACATTAAAAAAATGCATACATTTTACTAAAAAAAATAATACATTTTACATAACAAGTGGTTTTTTTTAGGAAAATGCGTACTTATAAATAAATTATGACTACAAATAAAAGATTAAAAAAAAAATTATGAGTACAAATAAAAGTTTAAAAATATAGGCATAGAAAGAAATTAAATATATGGGTACAAATCAAACTATAAAGGAAACTGATATAATTTAAGAAAATAGTCGCAAACTGAAAATGGGTACAAATTAAAATTGGAATAGATGGTACAATATTTTTTTTTAACAGATGATATTACCTACACTAGGGGGGATGGGCTTAGCCTCACAATGGGCTAGCAATAATGTGGTTCAAAAATTCGCATTTACAGAAAATCGAACCTAAGTCCTGTCACTTGCAAGTGAAGAGGAATACCACTAGACCGTTGTTCTAAGTGACATATGGCATAAATATGGCACAAATTTTAGCCATAAATATAAATATACCAAATGTAATATTTCTAATACTAAATGGATATATTTAAGAAATAAAATTTAAATATGCTAACATGTAAATACATTATTATTGAAATAATGACATGAATAAAAATTAAATAACCTTGATAAAAATTAAAAGGAAAAAAAATTTCAATCAATAAAATAAAATAAAAAATGAATAGAAACCTAATTTCTCTTACTTTAAATTCAACTTTGTGTTTCCTAACTTTCACAAGGGGTTGGAAACATTATATATTGAGTAATGCTATTCTTACCACAATTTCATTCCACATTTCTTTACCATCTTAGGTGGTAGATGAGTTGGACAAGCTACATCATTTAATTTCAATCTTTTTATTAATTAAAACACTTAAATAATCTTAGATGGAAGAAGGAAACTCCTCGTATACCACAATCATCATTTAATTAACAATCTTTTTATTAATTATTGATTAAAGTTTTGAAATTACATGCTAATTAATTTAGATGATGTGACTATCCACATTAGATGTCACCTAAGGTGGTATACAATTGTGGCACCAAAATATGGTAAAAATAACATTATTGTTATATATTACAGGACATGTGTGGAACTCATTCCTCATGGAAGATTTTGAAAAAAAAAAAAAACAAGTAGAGAACAGAGCTCACTACTTCCACAAAATATAAAAAGACAAATGACAAAGCAATAGACTACTTGAAATTTGTTTGTGAAAGGGCTATAAAGTGTATTTTGAGCAAGGAAATGCACTTATGTGTACGTTGATAGAAAAAACTTGAAAGTGCATATGGGTTGTATGGATACTTTTTTAAAATAACACTTCCAATTGCTTTCTTAAAAAGCACTTGATTTTTTTATAAAATTTTAACATTTTCATAATAGAAGCGCTTATAAACAAAGTGCTCTGCATATAGTAGTTCCTAGCAAACCCAAAAACAACTTTTGAGCATAAATTATTTTAGATATAACAAAAACCTTGTACAAGAAAATATTTTCATAATTAAGCTTTCACAAATTCGTACGTGCCAACTGGAGATCACTCACTCGATTGTATGAAGAAAAAATGTATAAGTTTTGATTTAAGGTCTTCTATCAACCTTTGAATATAACATATATATATATATATATATATATATATATATATATATATGCTGTCTCCAAGTCTTGCACCAACAGCCAACTTTACGTTCACGGCCATACACACGTAGTCATAATCGACGTCCCTGTATGAATACTTAGAATTTACTTTCATATATATATATATATGTAGGCCCTTAAAATTAGCCGCCGGTAGGCCTAGAATTTACCTTCCTAGCTAGCTGTAGGCCTTAACATTAGCCGCCGGTAGGCAGAATAGGATTTTCTCTCCTCTTTTTTCCCTCTCCTTCCCTCCTTTCCTATTTGAATGGTCACGGTTAAGTCACGTCAACATCTTATATTAATTTTTTATAGCAAGAGAACGACAAAATAAGAGAATGTGAGAGGAGGAGATGAGCTGTTTAATTTGTAATCAAACTAGCATAATCCACTTGTATGTGTTTTATCCCATAGTTGCAAAATATGAAGGAGAAAAAAATGAATAAAATGGAACTTGACCAAATCTATATAGTAATTCATACATGGTTATATTTTTCCTGTTTAGTATTACTCGAACTATTGTAGATGTAGAGGCGGCGTTGAGGGGGAGCAAAAAGTGCAATCGCACATGGCCCCAAATTTGAAGGGCCCCCAAAAAATTTTGGTATCTTATATTTATATGTTATAATTTTATATATTAAAAATACTTTTATTAGCACTTTAAAATCTTATAGTGTACTTTTTATAAGTGTAAATTTTATTTTCTTTCCAAATAAAAAAAATTGGAGTGCACAATGAGATAGTAGGAGAGCCAATAACAACACCTTAAAAAATGATTTTCTTTTCAATTTTATTGTATAATAATGCTATATATTCAAGTGAAACTTTAAGGTTATAGTTTTTTAAGCTTTTTTTCTTTCTTTATTTGGTTGCTTAAGATTGAACTGTTATGTATTATTCAGCATGAAGATTATATTTGTAACTCTTTTTACTTATTTAATGACATTTGTAAACTTACAGTAAGTCCTAAAGTTTGTTTTGATTTATGTTATTATTTTCTAGTACCAATATATTGTCCTACTTTAAAAAAATAAAAACTATCTTAAAAATGGGACCCTTTATAAATTTCGCATAGGGCTCCCGAAATCTCAGAGACAGCCCTGTGTAGATGTGGGTATGTTAGTTGACTAAGGTAACATGTTCGCCTCTAAACTTGAATTTCAATCCTCCCTTTCGTAAATTTAGAAATTATTTTACTAATAATATGTAAAATACCACAAGCGTGGTTGAAAGAATCAACAGTTACATATGTTATTCATGTAGACAAGATCCGGAGGATATTGCAAAGGGGTTCATCAGTACCATTCATACAAATATGGATGATAAAACGTACCCCATGCAAGTACTTCACGATGAAATAGGGCACTGGACTTATTCCACATGTTCCTGTATAGTCCAGCCAGATTTCCTGATATAGCATGTACTGCACTCATTCATTTGTGCAGTTTGTTTGTACCTTGAACATAAATATAATACCACTTTATGATGATCATTTATAATTTAGTAATGTTATTTACAGTGTTGTTGAATCATTAAGTTTATGTGGAGCCTAGCCTCTCACATGGTGAAATGCAATATATGTTTAGTGTAACTGTATTAAAATATATAGGAGATCCACATTGCGCACATACCACATTCGATCCACAACTAATTTAAATCTCTCCGGCACGAAAGGTCATCATGTCTTTTTTCTGATGAGGGACCATATGAAAGCTCAGTGGCTCCGACCCCATCATCTCTGTCTCTCTCTTGCCCTTCTTGTCGTTGAGGTGGTTGCACAAGTCTTCTTAGTTAGAGAGAGAGAGAGAGAGAGAGAGAGAGAGAGAGAGAGAGAGATTTTTTTGAGGAAGACAATGGAGGGATTGATCAAAGAGGAATATAGTGCCTAGCTAGTGGTGGTTTTAGAGGTGCTTTTCATATAGATATTAAGGTCGAGGGTCACAGTTGAGATGTATGTGTGCCCCCCCCACACACTGACTTCACAATAATATTGATGCCTCTAACGCATTTTTTCATGTGGACCCCATTTTACAACCTATATTAGACTAGTCCACCAGCTTCTAGACCTCGATAAAAAAATTTAGTGTGTCGAAAGCACGGTCCGTATAGGATCATAATATAATTGGTTAGAAATTTTGTTTTCAAGTTTCTAATTTATTGTATTACACTCAGTATATCGAGTCGCATTTCTGGCACACCGAAAAATCTCTCGATGTCTAAGAGAGAAGAGATTTTTAGCGTATCCAAACACCACTAATATAATATATCTATTACACCCAAATTATAACCTTCATTTTTTTTGTTCATTGACTCTAAAAAAATTAGAATGCCAGAAAACTACTTTAGTGTCTCAAGGCTTCACCAAAAAATTTGGACGTAAAAATCTTTAAAACAAAAAAAAAAGAATACAACTGATTGAAAATAATAGAAACAAAGTAGCAGGGATAATTTTGTCAAGGGAAACCAAATAAAAAAAGCTAAACTAATTAAAATTTAAAAATTGAAATAAAAGTATTGAAATCCCATGTTGAGGAGAAGTTGGCGAAATTTAGAAAATAATAGTATTGAAATCCACGTATCTCAATCCACTGCATCAATCGTTCTCTCTACACACTTTTCACAAACCACCATTTTAGAATAAGTAGAACTTCAGTCTCCTTAATGTCGAGTTTTAAATAATATTCGGAATTTAAAATAATAAATCACGTAACGAATGATGTCGATACACAATTTCTCCTAAACCTTTCTCTCACTCTTCAGTCTCTACAGTTTAGGTGGTTGGCTCTTCTTCAAGGGATGGACCCCACTCTAAGTACACTAATAACCATGATACCTAAGCTTTTCATGCATTTTTGGACCCTTCCATGCACTACTCCCATTATAAATAATCATGACTGCGGTGTACCCTTTACGAAATCAAACCCCTCCTTTGTGTTTTCTCCTTCAATTCGATTCGCTTCTCGTCATCTCCAATTCTCTCATCACTACCAATATTTTGTCTCTCTGTTTTTATCTTTGATATAATGTCAGATGATCAAATGAGTCTATCAATAAATGGTCAATCTCAAGTTCCCCCAGGTTTCCGGTTCCATCCAACCGAAGAGGAGCTTCTTCACTACTATCTTAGGAAGAAAGTTGCCTTTGAGAGGATTGATCTTGATGTAATTCGAGAAGTTGATCTTAATAAGCTTGAGCCATGGGACATTCAAGGTACATATATATATATATATATATATATATAAACTCATCGTAAAATTTTCATAAATAAGAGTCACGGTTCATGGAAATCGGATTGGTTCATTCATTTTTGTGACATAATGCAGAGAAGTGCAAAATAGGTTCCACTCCACAAAATGATTGGTACTTCTTCAGTCACAAGGACAAGAAATACCCAACCGGAACTCGAACCAATCGGGCAACCACTGCTGGGTTTTGGAAGGCCACCGGGCGGGACAAGATCATCTATAGCGGCTTCAAAAGAATTGGATTGAGGAAGACACTTGTGTTTTATAAGGGTCGAGCTCCTCATGGACAAAAGTCAGATTGGATCATGCATGAATATAGGCTTGATGAAAGCAACACTCATGAAACCACCGTAAGTTTTTAGTCCCCCCATTTCTTCAACTTTCACACAATCGAAATTTTCAAACACTTCATTTATTCCAAGAATAATCAAACACCAATTTGCATTCTTGTGTCGATTGCACAAAGTACTATTTATTTATTATACGTATACGCTTCTCTTTAACATATCAAAACTACCTCTGTTTAAATCTCACTGGATCATAGTAGGAAGGTAACTATCCCCTTATAATATTCTTCTTCACATACATACTTCTGTGTGTACACAATTATTGATATTCTCATACATTCAGTACGTACTATATGTGTATTCATACAGGTTTCTAGCTCAATGGGGGAGTCGATGACCGAAGAAGGGTGGGTGGTCTGCCGGGTATTCAAGAAGAAGAACTATCAGAAAGCTTTAGAGAGCCCTAAAGCCTCCTTCTCCATGGACTCATCAAACAACCAAATGCATGGTTCAAGAAACGATGGTGTTCTTGATCAAATACTGATGTACATGGGAAGGACTACTTGCAAGCTGGAAAATCATGATCAATCCTTAACCATGAATAACATCTCAGAAAGATTTATGCATCTGCCAAGGCTTGAGAGCCCAACTCTTCCAAACCTTCCCACTTTCGATCAGGAACGTAGCTTCAAAGCTTGCTATTCGGCCATTGACGACATGTTCATAGAAACTGAGCCTTCTTCAACAAACCAACCAAGCAATGGTTGTCACAATAATGACCTAGTCGATGATCATGAGTACCCCAAAACAAGGCTAAATGACTGGGCTACCCTTGATAGGCTTGTGGCATCCCAACTAGGTCAACTCAATGGCCAAGATCAAGAGACACCAAAACACTTGTCTTGCTTTGGCGATCCAAACATGGCCTTTTGTTCTTCTCCTCATCCTAATGATCAAGACAATGACGTACAGCTATCATATCCATACCTACGTACAAGTAGATCATCCGATCATCAATCCGAAGTATACAACAACGAGAATGATCTGTGGAACTTCACCAAATCGTCGTCATCACCGTCATCATCGGACCCGCTTTGCCACTTGTCGGTGTAAGGGAAGCACTTGAAACGACATATATACTATATACGATATATAGTAGCTTAACCTATAAGAAATATATATAGGAAGTGCGTACGTACGTTTATGTTTAAATGAGAATACTTGTAATGAATAATAAATAATAAATGAATTAGGTGATAACTGAGATAGTGTGGCATTGTCATACCATTATCTTTACTTAAATAAACATGTCTTTCCATTAAAGTGAGTTAATTTGTTGTCGAATTTTTTGAGGGCTGTCACATGCATGCTCTTAATTTCTAACCTGTAATTATGTCCTTAGGTTAAGCTTCAATGATAACATGTTGCTGACTTTTGATCGTATATTTGGTATCATGGCAATTGATCATCATGATGTCAATATTGTAGATGAGTGTGTATTAAACCTGCTAAGCACTATATAAAACATATCGTTGGCTTGGTCATGAGTTTATGACATTGGTACAAATTTGTTATTCTAGTGTCCATAAACAGTAACATTCTTGGCTTGGTTCACAACTTCACCTAACGTGTACGTACCAATTATGGTGTGGAAAAAGCAACCCCTTTACCAATAAAGATAAGATTAGAGCATGAGGATCAAGTGAAAATATCCCATAACTGCTCTTCTCTCTCTCTCTCTCTCTCTCTCTCTAGAGCATGAGGATGAAGTGAAAATATCCCATATACTGCTTCTCTCTCTCTCTCTCTCAAAATGGCCAAAAAATCTATACGAATAATCACCTAACTCCTTATAAATACATGCAATGTGCTTAATTTGTTGATATGAAATAAAATTGCACGTCCTCACGTGCCCCCTCACATGTGGCAATACTCAATTCGAACACATGGACAACACATGTCAGGTAACGTGGAGTATGTGTGTGGCCATGGACCGTTTACACATGCTCCAAACTTTCTCGAATACCATGAAGAAACATAAGGTTTCACTATAAGATCAATTAGCAATATAAGTAGTCAAACTTCTGATATGTATATACAAAATCTCTTAACTTTCTGATGTTGGACAAAACTCCAAATCCTCACAGATGATGCTTTTATCTCTAGCTATGATCTTCAAACGAAAAGAAAACAAGACTAAATTAAGTTAGGAATATACACCCTTGTGTTAGAGTAAGATGCTAGCTAATGTGAGGATAAGTTTCAATTCGTAAGATTAGCTATTGTATTATTCGTACTAGAGGATCATGTAATAGAAAGAGCGTGATGTAGGAGAATTGATAAATGTAGCTACATGTGCATGCTTTCAGAGATTTACCCATTGTGTCGAATTAAGTAGTTTAGTCAAGCTAGAAGATGAAATGGGAAAACTCAATAGAATACTTTGTGGCATAGGTTATATGTACCAAACACTACGTACGTAATTAATTTATTAAACAATAATCGGACACAAACTAATAGTCTTTTTTTTCTTTCAATAATTAGTCATATGTTTAAAGTTTCAACGGATATGGCAATATTTTGTTGACATATATATATGCGCCAAGTTTAAATCTTATTTACTTACATTCAATGTAGTTCTTATGTTATCCGCGTGAGAATGCGAGCTACAAGTCAAAAAGTTTCATATTAAGGAATTAAGGCTGTATTTAGATGAGGGACTTCCAAATTTCAAAAAATTGAGTTCGAATTATTAAGGAATGGACCGTAAATCGCAAATAGAGAGGATTAGCAATGCTCTTTATGAGCATTACAAAAAACTGAGGGGGATTTGCAAATGACACCTTTTAAGTAGCAATTTACAAATCTCTTTCACATGACTTTGTAGTTTTCAAAGATGAAATTGCTAATCCCCTAATATCTGCATTTTATGGTTCATTCCTTACTAACTTGGACTCAATTCACTAGGACATGGAAATCTCACCCAAACATAGGCTGAGGAACCTTGTATAGAGTTATAAAGAGTTTGGATTACATTTTTCATTGACAATATAGTTTCAGGGTCTAGATTGGCTAGGTTGTCCATGTGTGAAGCCCACTGTCACACGTGCTCTATATCATCTAAGTAAATTATCCACATTTTACTCTTAAAACTTCATCACACGTTCAAGAGTATCACATAAAAAAATTAAGGAAAATTGCATAAATTTATAAGGAGTTTGTCTGCTCTCCCATTGCTACTAGGTTTTGGGGTGTAACCTTAAGTTTTTTTCAATCTACTCAATCATGTTAGCGAGGAAAAGTTGGGATAGCTAGTACGACTCTACGCAGTTAAAACGTTGCCTAATAATTTAAACTATTTTAGCACTCTTTACTCATTTTAAATTAGCTAGTTTTGAGTTGGATGCTAAACGACCCATAAGAAATGTGTTAAAAGTGTAAATTATCCCAACATCGGCGAATTAAAACTTTGCCTTATAATTTAAACAGGGTGATGTTATCCACACACCTCTTTTTATCTCCCACATCGCCACCCCTTAAATAATGTTGAATCTTTCACCCATTGTCAACTAATTTTAGATTATTTGATGCTTATTTTCTAATATGTGCAATGTATATAGAGTACTTCTCTTTATAAATAAAACAGAACAAAGTATGGGTACAAATATTACTCATTCATATGGGTAAAGCTCCAGTACGAAATTTGAATGAAAAAAAATTAATTAACTTCGTGTTTTCAATGAGAAAATTAAGGGGTTTTACAATTACGAAATTGATGGTTTGTTCTTCTTTTTTATTTTTTGGAAGCAGGGATACATTACCCGGGCAAAGATGCCAGCAAAAACAGAGAAAGCCCACAACAAGGCAAGCAAACAGGAAAGAAAACAGAAACAGCGAACAGAAGAGGGAGTTACAAGGAAGACATAATAGCCAAGCTAGCATGTTGCCCCCTCCACTGCGCCCCAAAAAACCTTATGGAGGACAGGGTAAACCATCACAATGGAGCACAAAAACCAGAGAAGATGGGGGTCTATTGACCCATGAAACATCGCACATCTCCACACACCGATGCGACGCCAGAGAGTCCGCCGCCATATTGGCTGATCTTGGAATCCAAGACCAGCGACAGTCCTGGAAAGACTCTCCTAACCTCTTAGCTTTCACTAAAGAAGGAAAGGCTTCCCAACTGCCCATCCTAAGAGAAACCGAAAGAGAGCTAATAGAATCTTGAGAGTCAGACTCAACGATTACCTTTTGAAGTCCCAGAGCTAACCCAAATTGACAACCCATAGAAATGGCCATTGCTTCAGCAGCATTCACGCAAGGAGCCGTGATAGAATGTCTGATTGCAGCCACGAAGGAACCCCCAGCATCCCGCAGAACAATGCCAACGAAACCAGCACGCGTTAACGCTGACCAGCTGGCGTCAACGTTAATTTTCGTGTACTGCAGAGGAGGAGTGGCCCATCTGGCCTCCGGAGTAGCCACAGTTCGACGGACAGGGAGGTCCGAGTTCCTACGGACAGCTTCGAAAAAAGCACTAGCCGAGTTGGAAATAGCCCACAGCACCTGAGAGGGATTGATAAGGCTGTTGTTATACACAAAATTGCACCTGGTTTTCCAAATGTGCCAGCACGAAAAGGCAACAAACGAAATGAGAGACAACCTGTCATCATTTGGACCGCCAAGGACATTTGAAGCAGAAATGAACCACTCCACCCAGTTTGAAACCTCGGTCCTCGCAATCCGGAGATTGAGAGCACCACCAAACCAAACGGGTTCCACCCAAGGGCAAAATAACAATAAGTGCTCGACAGATTCTTCCTGATTATGACAAATGGGGCAATTTGGATAAGGCATAGACCGTTTTTTAAACAACTCAGACATCGTAGGGAGAGCACCATGGAGGGATTTCCACATAAAATGTTTGATCTTTGCCGGTACTCTAAGTTTCCAGATAAGCTTCCAAACCCGGCTTGGGATAACAATGGGAGCACGGGAATGCAAAGCCATCGGGAGATTGAAACAGGCATGCCCCCAGTGATACCCGGTCTTCACCGAATACTGCCCATTCTTGGTCCCCGGCCAAATGAACCGATCCTCACTCCTCAAATCACCAATAAAGTATCCTTAATGGCATTGAGATCCTCTGCCGGAAGAAAAGGTTGGAGCGAATTAAGGTCCCATGTACAAGAATCAGGGCAGATGAAAGACCTCACCCGAGTATTCAAGGTAACCGACACCTCACCACCAGGGGTGGGATGACCCAGCGGGATGGATGGAAGCCACTTGTCAACCCATACTCGCACTCGCTGCCCATCCATGATTTGCCAGTGGGCCCCCTTCAACAGTAAATCTCTGCCCACCAATAAGCTGGACCAAACCCATGAAACACGACTGCCCTTTTGAGCATCAAGAAAGGAACAGTTAGGGAAATACCTGGCTTTAAGAACAGACGCCCATAAAGAATTTGGCTCCATAATCAACCTCCAGCACTGCTTAGCAAGAAGGGCATCATTAAAGGATTTGAAATTTCTAAAACCCAAACCCCCTGCAGATTTAGGAAGACCCATCTCTTTTTTGGAAACCCAGTGAATTTTCCTCTCCCCATTTTTCTGACCCCACCAGAACCCAAAAATCAAAGAGTCTAACTCATTGCAAATAGAGTCCGGGAACTTAAATAAATTCATCGGGTATGCCGGAATGGCTTGGGCAACAGCCTTTATCATCACTTCTTTGCCAGCCTGAGAAAGCGTACATTGTTTCCACCCCTGAATTTTCCCCAACAAACGACCTTTCAAATAAGCGAGACCACGGGACTTGGAGCGGCCCCAAATGGCAGGAAGACCAAGATAAGAACCTGGGTGAGAAACCACCGGAATGCCAAGATCATGCCCAAGATCAGCCACCACATCCATAGGAGTTAACACTGAAATACACACACGATTTCTGAAGGTTCACCGCCTGACCTGAAGCCGAGCAATACGAAGCCAATAATCTGCTCAAGTTGTTGCAATTAGCTTTATCAGCCTTCAAGAATATCAAATTGTCGTCAGCAAAAAAAATGTGGGAAATAGGCGGGTCGTGGGTAGACATTCGAACCCCCTGTAGTTGATTAGACTGAATGGTGGTACAAATCATTTTGGACAAAACGTCACTAATCAAAAGAAACAGATAAGGGGAGAGAGGGTCTCCTTGCCTTAAACCTCTTGAAGGAGCAAATTTGTTACCGGGTTGCCCATTGAGAATAACAGCAAAGTTGACAGAGCTCACACATCCCATGATGAGCCGACGCCACATGGGATGAAACCCCATCTTCTCCA